GTTGCAGAAGCAGCTTGCTCTTCAGATCACAGCCCGTTGAAAACAATCCAAATCTCCCTGTTCTGTGCATGACCCGCTCCTCTGCATTTTTTTTTTGGCTTTGCGTTAAGACCCTCGATGCCACCTGTGCACTCACTACAAGATAAGACAAGACAAGCGCTCCACGCGCCAGCAGCTCTGCGCGCCGAAGCCCTCCGCGGCGGCCGAGCCAAACGCCAGCACTGCGCGTTACGCCGTTTTCTAGGGCGGACAGGGGCTACGCCGTGCTCCTACAGACTCCTCGTCCCACTGCCTCATTGTTTATGCTTTTTTGGGTGAGCCACATCACCATTTTCATCCGCGGACCTGGGTGCAAGAGCAGCACCGATCCCCTGCGTTTGCATTAAGCACCCCGTTGGCAGCATTGCTCTGCGCACAGCACTGAGCGTCTGTGGAGATGGGTATCAGTTCCTGCCCCTGGCACGGTTTCATCGGGGCCACGATCCTCACTATGTTTTTCTCACCGTTTTCATCATTCACAGCAACTCAAAGAGGGGGAATAAAAATTTGCCAGGCCCCAGAGGGGGTACTTTGCACTCCCTGCATGGTGGGGCCACCACGCAGTGCAGCGAGGGTTATCACACCCGCGCACCAGCTGATCCACACCAATAGAAAAGCCAACCCCAGCAGGGGAAATGGAGGGATGGATGGATAACCACCTGCTGAAGAGGAAAACGCTGAGCAAACTAGGTGCTATGGCAGTTCATATCCTTTCTTTGATCCCAGCTGTATCTTTGTACTGCGTATAGAAAGCAGAGAGAAGAACAACAAACCTTTCTGCTAAGCCAATGACTCTCTCAAATGCATTTTCCTGCTCTGTAATGGGAACGGAGGCTCAAACCCTAGCCTGCATTAATGAAAAAACAAACAAAAGCAGAAGTTCATTAGTGATGAAAGTTGCATTTCCAGCCAATTATTTATTTGTTTTTGCCTCTAAAGACCCTATCTATGCATTGCATAGGAGCCTATTGGAAGCACTTCCAGTAAAAGTCTTTGGTCAATTTGTTTAAACTCTTACCACAATAAACAGCAGGATTAAACAGCGTATCATCCACTTGGCCTCATCACCATCTCCTCACTCGTTCCCATGACGAAATCCGGAAAAACTCACCACCCTCACAGTTTTTCCCAGAGTTCAGCAGATTCACGCCCTGTTAGTCCATGACTAAAAACAAGTTTCAGAAGAAAGGGGAGGGGAGGGTGCTCTACCTGCAGCCCTCCAAAAATTGAGTGAGCACAGATAGAGCCCTTAGACAGGCCCTTAGCTGTTGGTCCTGAACTCAGAGGGGATTTCCAGGATCTGAGGAGTTCAAGCGACTTACGCTGAACCTTTTAGTTCTACTATACCCACCCTACTCTTGCAAATTACTTGGCCTTCAGGCACAATCACTTCAGTAGTGTTCCACACGAGTCCTGCAAACAGCTTGGCATGGGTGGAGAAAGGGCAACACCACCAGCCAGCCCAGGAGTTGCAATTTCAGCATCCTTCCAGTCCCTACTTCCGATCCAAGGTGCTCATTGAACGAGGAAGGTGCAAAGCACCTCTGTGGGATTTTGTAGCCGTTGATGTCATACACTGGTCCACTCTCTTGCCTCTATCAACAGACAAAACCACTTTAGATGCTCTCTAGATCTACAAGCTCCGCACCACAGCCTATGGAAAGTACCTTCACGTTGTTACCGTCACCCTGCATTGCCCTCATTCTTTATGCCTCATGTTAAGCTGTGCTCTTGCTGTAAGCCCTTGCGCGCGTGGGAGTCCCTAGTGCACGCAGCGCATCCGCATGCATTATTTTAAGCCTGGAAAGAACCGAGCAACATGGGGCTCTTTTTTCTGGCAGAAGCTGTACCAGCCAGAGCTGCATCGATAACAGAGTACTGACTAACGAGCGAGGCGCTCTGAAGGCACTAATTATGCCAAAGAAATCACAAACTTTCTTGATTTTTCGATCACATCACATCACATCCATCCTGCAAGACAGAGAGACAGGAGGAGTCCTACAAAGTGCAATCATCAGATTTGCTGATCTGCTGTTTGTAGCATCCCTGGGGAAAAGTGATGGCTAAAGGTATTAGATGGAGCTTGGGACCTGCCACTTTCCATACTGCTGCAGACCATCTGTGCCGTTCCATCTCTATGAGACAGAGGTCACTGGGGCTGTTAGTGTCCCTCCAAATTAATGGCATGATTGAAAAGAAAACTTGGTTCCCAAGCCCTCTGGACCAGGCATTAGCCCAGGACTGCAGGCAGAAACACAAGCTCTCTGCTCAATTCCCCTTTCAAGGTAAAGACACAGGATGACTGCTGTGTGATCAACGATGTTTTTCAGCCCGGAAACCACACTTCCTCCCGCCACGTGTTGGCTACCACTGGTCCCGAGCGAGCACCTTAAAAAACTGCGTTTCCTGCACAACGCAACCATTTGATTTCCAGCGCCTGCCCCCCACCCCGGGGCTGGCTGCAGGCGGCTGGGGCACGGCTCGCACCGCAAAACCAATGGCCCAGGGGCAAGGGTGCTAATTCCAACCCTTGTTTGCTGTTAGGGATTTAGGGATGCAGAGACAGGGTGGGAACAACACTGTGTTTTCCTTTTCTGGAGCACCAGGCCACCTACGCCACGACTTCGCTCAGGCGCTGCAGGTCTACGGCGAGGACAAAGCGGGTCCCTGCCCCGCTCGCCCTACCCACGGCTGCTGCAGGGGCAGGTGTCCCTTGCCCAGCGGGAAGCAACTTCGTCTCTCCTTCCCCAGCTCCAACCATGGTCCCACGCCACTGCGAGCATGTCTGGACCCTGGGACAGGGTGTCCCTCAGAGCCCCCCAGGGCGCACGCGGGGCTGGCTGCCCTCACAGCCCCGCTGCCCAGCTGGGAGCTGCGGGACATGAGCAGGTTTTTGCAGCGCTGCAGCAGTAAAAGGGATTCAAGAGCCCAGGCCAGGTATCATCTGTCCGTGAGGTTAAGCTTGAACCAGAGCAACGTTATGCCCTTGCAAAAAGAGGGATTTTGAGCCGACTAAATTCTTGATATTCCCCTTTTTGCAAAACCAGTGTTTTCATCCAAGGCTAAGAATTTCTTAGAGACTAATAAGGCCAAAACTCTGCAAACATTTGGGCACTGCCTGACGTTTTACCGGGAGCATCTGCGTACATAACTGCATTCCCATGCAATACTTGGCAGCCTCCCGTTCCCACAGGCAGCAGGAAGCACGTGTAAGACTGCCTGGTATCACCCCTTTAGCATCTCTGGTAACAACATGATTATTAATCATTGTTAATCACATTAATACTCTTTAAGACTATTGCACACCTGTTCCCTAGCACCATCTGGAGGCAAACTCTGTCCTTCACCCAATTTAGTGGAAAAGGTGCTTGTAGATGCAGGATACCAACTGGCTCTGACTACTCCAGGTCAAACACTCTGCAAAAATTCAGGTGTTTGCTGATCTGAATAGGCATTGTAAGAGAAAAATTATCCAAGTTTGGTTGTTTGCTGCAGGCCAAAAACTGTTTAGGAACATGCGTTTAAACTTAACAAGCTAGGCAAAAAGCAGAACACAGTTGTTCTGCTAAAGAGAGGAAAAAAAACTTCTTGGCAATGTGGTTTGAAGAAACCGAGGAAGAAAACAATAGAGCAAACCAAAAATCTAAGAACAGTATCACATAACAAGCTTTTGCTTCCATTTTTTCCTACCTGGGAGCTGATACCTTTTAAATTTGCATCCTCCTCAAAACAGGAAACCAAACCCTTGCCTTGCAGTCCTACACCCAAAAGGCAGACACCACATTAATTCAGAACAGGGCATTACAAACCATTTTGCAAAGGGTCAGCTGGTAAGATGCTTTAACCACGAAGACAGGAAGGAGTCTGATCTGAAAAATCACATAGACGCTCAAGACATAGAAGACATGTGCCCAAAGTTTAAAAGCCAAATGCTCTCACCATGGGCTGGTATGACAGATGATTTTGTACCTGAAGTGGTCCTGGACAAAGCTAACGCTTGTGTATTTTCTTCACTGAGCTAGTAACACTGCCCTCCTAGGGAGACAAAGCCTCTGCTTCCCTAGTGGTCCTCCGAACAATCGAGTGTCACACAACCCACCTCGTTCATTGCCGTCTTGTACTCAGCCAAATTTTGCTCAGTGTTTCAACAGGCCCACATCCACACAGGTGCTGTGAGGGATTGTACCTGAAGTGGTCCTGGACAAAGCTAACGCTTGTGTATTTTCTTCACTGAGCTAGTAACACTGCCCTCCTAGGGAGACAAAGCCTCTGCTTCCCTAGTGGCCCTCCGAACAATCGAGTGTCACACAACCCACCTCGTCATTGCCGTCTTGTACTCAGCCAAATTTTGCTCAGTGTTTCAACAGGCCCACATCCACACATCGTGTGAGGGAGCACACGATTCAGTTTTTAGGACACTGGCCAATGTAGCAGAATCCAAAGCAGATGGGTACCTCCAAGACGTCCCAAAACTGGGCTTGTCTCCCTTTCACATCCCATGTCTCCCAATACTGAGCAGTCAGAAGCGCAAGTCCTTGAAGTAATATGAAACGCGGGGTTCTTCCTTTGAATATTACTTTAAAAAACATAAATCTTTAAAAGCCAAAGTAAACCTTTCTCAAAATAGAGAAGATTTGAGCTACTGTCAAGTTACTGTATACAAGGGAAAAGGAGAGGAATAGAAGGGCTACAATTCTTTCGTTCCAACTGTATTGTGAAAGAAATCAGGTGTTGCTTCTGCACCACAAGCAGAGCCCAGTAAACACAACACAGAATGTCCATCCAGCTGGGGGTTTTTAATGGCTCAGAAAGGGATGTGCAGTCTGCAAACCCTAACAGGAGCTTACATATCACATGAGTGGGCCCACAACTGAGTGGCTTCCAGTCAGCAGAAACTAAAGAATGAGAGGGACGTTAAATACCACACAGAGGCTAGGAGCAGCTGAGCAAGGAGTCTGGGAAAGACGAGATGCGCGTTGGTTTTATTCATTATACCATAAATAATAGTTTCCACAATATCATACACTTCAGTTTCCAAGTCTATATCCGAAGAAAGTTCCGAAGTTTGGGGAATACTTTCAGTGCATTCTGTGTAGTCACTTCTATAACTTCTTCAATTGAAGTTTCTTTTATTTTGGCAACATATTCTGCAGCTATGTAAATATTTTTTGGTTCATTTCTCACCTGAAAAAAAAGCCAAACAGACCAGAGCAAATTACAGATCCCTACCGATGACAGGTGTTTCAGATTCAGTACTTCAAGACAACCACAGTCATCTGAAACACAACTTGTGGCACCTGAGACAGAGAAATTACATGTGTCTATTCTTCTTGGATTATTTTCCCCTTTGCCCGTTTCTAGAATTTCTTCTCCTTTCCCAGCCTCAGGAACACAGACTTTTTAATCTCATCATTTTCACTTGGCAACTTCTTTCATCCCTTTGTCCATGCTTACACTACTTCACCCTCCCGTGCCCGTAACTAACCTCCATAAGGTGTGGGTTTGGATATGCATACATAGAGTCCCTCCCCCATCACTTACCTGTTTTTCAGGCCCCAGAGCAGGAGAGTCCGTTTCTAAGCACATACTTTCCAGAGGTAACAGTTTTACAAGCTTCTGCTTCTTGAAGAAAATAAGACAGCTATTAAACACTTCATGCACTTAGACCTGTGGGGAAAAATGCATGAAGAGAGGATATTCTCTGTATTTAAAAACAGTATCAAAAGACTTTGGTGCCACTGTCTGCATTTTTATCAACAATTTCAAAATGGAAGCATGAATACCAGGAGCGGCTCGAGAAGTCCCTTCAAGTGAGGATTATCCTGTTTTCTAAATAACTGAAGTACCATTACCAAAACACTGAATTCATTGTCATTTATCAAATCATGTAATTATATTGCACAAAATACCCTATATTTAGAGTTGCCAATGCAATTTTTAATTTGCTATTTTTCTGTATATACAATATTTGTGTACCTTTTTCCCATCTCTCCTTTTACCCTTTAGCCCCAGTTTGCTTTCCTTTCTCCAAGTTCCTAACCTTACCTGTGTCCATCTCTCACACCCCCTCCGCTTGAATCATGCCTTTCACTTTCCTGCATTTCCTGAGCTTATCACAGAAAGTGATAATGGTGCAGGATGGAAACAGACTGCTACCCCAAAATAAGAAGTTAGCATAGCTTGCAGCAGCCCAGAGCAGAAACTAAAAGAGCAGCCTCACCAAATCAAGGGCTGAACCTGACCAATCATGTATTTAAGTAATTTAGCTGCTTCTTTGCTGGGCACACCTTGTGATAATCACAATTTTTCAAATGTCTAACTTAAGCCAACTGTGAGCAGATTTCCTTTTGAACAAAAAAGGCCATAGCACTGAGAAACTAGTTGTTTTCCATGTGTCACATCCCTACTCTAAAATGGTACAGTGACAGAAGCTTCCAAAGAAGAGTTCACTAGAAACCACGTAAGAAAAAAATTCCTATTTTCTTAACCCTTGTTTCTCAGGAATAGCAGAACAGTTTTAGGCAAAATTTCGCCACAAAGGTCTAGCTATGACAAAAGCCCCAGGTAGAAATTTAACCAAAGTAAAAACGTGAAACACTATAAGCAACTGAAATGTCTATGGAGAAGTGTCAGGCGACAGCAACCGTAAGCCAGTACTGCTAGTCCCACTTCAAACTGTACAGACTTAAAACCCAGGCTTATTCTTGAGCTGCACTGTGAAAATAGTCCCGTTTGCCATCAGGATAAGCTGTCAGCTATCACCTGCAATCCCCAAGCACCGAGAAGTAGCAAACCCCTTTAAAGCCTACCTGTTCACTCCTTACAATGGAAGGAGGAATGGAGAAGTAGTATCCGGCTTTCACCCCTTCCATTGCTACAGATGGCTTCCCATCAAACGCATGGAGCAACACCCTTGTAGCACCTCCGAGAAAAGCAGCAAACCAAATCATTAGCAGTGTTTACAGTAGGTCTGCGATGCCAGCTTCCAATGGAACCTCAGTCCCATAAAGAATGAATACTGAATCTCTGCACTGTTCCTCCCAAGCTTCACGTACACAAACTGATGTGACGATATGGCACAACTGAAGAAATTCTGTTGGCAAAAACCGTGACCGAGAAAATGCATTAAAAACATACCTTGTTCCTTTAAGAGATTAATGGTTGGTCTTCCAGCTGAGCGGGAATGAACATTTCTGCACAGCAAGGAGAGGCCCAGCATTAGGAAATTCAGCAAAATACTTTTTTTTGTAAACACAACAGAACTAACAGCAGCTTGGGAAGAAAATAATTAATCTGTATTATACCTTTCACCAGGAAAAATATCTAGAGACATATATATATGAATCATTTTAGTTACAGTGAAGATACAGGGACATATCAGCAACAACATAGCAGGGACAGGACACAGAAGACCACTGTATTCACGTGCAAACATAGGGAAAATTCTGTAATTAAAATTCAAACTAGAGACTGACAGGACACTAATGCCAGTTTAATCCATGTAAGAAAAGTTCTGTGGCATCTTAGTAACTATAAATCCTAGGAAATATTTCCACATGTTACTGAGATCTGGCAAATCCTCCCTCTAGTATAAGCAAAACCTACAAAGGCAAATCCAGTCTTCTTGCTAACTCAATCTGCTTGATCAAAACCTGTCTTTGTCCTTCCTTCTGTTCATCCGTGCTGGCGAATCTGGGAGTGAAATCTAGTCCAACCTACAGTACAAGAAAAGAAGTGAAAATGTTTTACAGACCTAACGCTTGACTAAACCACAATACCATATATAAAGAAAAAAAAAAATGCTTCAAACCTGCAAGGCATTTCAAAATATATGTACTAGAGACTGCAGTTAAAATGAGCTCAACTGTAGCTTAGCTTGGAAAGGAATCCATTCTCAACCATAAGCTTTTCAACTATCAAAGCATCTGTGGACAGACAGTTACTAACAAGTGTATTTAACATTTTAATCTATAACTTGTTTTCTGGGGTTTCGTATTCCATTGAATATTATTTCAGATTAAATCTCAAATCTGGATCTCAAATACAAGTAAAATTTCTGACCTGAATCTGTAGCTTTAGTCCTATCTCTAGCAAAAATTACACATTAATTCTATACTTTTTTTGATTTAAACATGTTTGGGCAAAATTTAAAGTTTGTCAAAGCAGCGCCATTCATAGCTATACCAACCAAAGTCCTTGATATACAGTACAACATAGTAAGTTTAGCTACAAAGCTCTACCAATAACTGCTTTTTCTGCAGCCAGTGCAGAACCAGCCATAAGTCCCTCCAGTACCAACACACAAAAGAGGCAGACTCTACCCCAAAGCCTTCAAGCTTCAATTAGTTTGTAAACAAACGTAAGACACGAAACAACACATGTATAGAGACAGATGAGGGATCACAAGGAAAAAGGACTGTGCAAGTCACTGAGGTGTGTTGAGGGATCACAAGGAAAAAGGACTGTGCAAGCAATTGAGGTGTGCCAAAATCAGAGCTTAGCCTAGCTTTGTCAGGGAAGAAGGCGGGAAGGATCTGAATGAGGATAACAATGTGACTCAACACTTCACTGGGCCAGAGAATTGGTAAAAAGACATTTGGGTGTAAGACAATATAGCACAATTATGCAATTCTTCCTACTAAATCCACCAGCACAAATGCCATCTATTTCCTAATAATGATAATGAAGGAAAAGAGGCAATCTGGCAAATCTATGAAGCACAGCACATTAAGAGAATTACAAATGAGACTTAGCGCTTGTTCAGACTGACAGTAATACTGCATACACAAAACCAAGCAGTCACTAAGTTTTTGTGATTCTGGTGACAGATGCTGCTGAACTCACAGACATTTAAACAAGTTACAGGATTCTACTTACTTCTCCGATCCCCACCAATTTATCTTTGTAGAGTTCTATAAGCGGCAATGCAGCATCCAGATCCTACAAGAATAAATTAAAGATGCAACCCTCACTGCCCTTACAAGATGGAAGGGGTATGAACTCAGCATTATGATTCAGTCGGTGTTTCCTCTGTTGTTTTTAAAATCTGTACCTTAAAACTTGCCATTACTGCGAGCTGTGTGGTCAGGCAGATTTTAGAAACCTGTGGGATTTCCCTTCTTTACTTAATGACCCTTCATCTCAAGTTCTTATTTCCACCAGAGCATAACAGGTAATTAAAACAAGGGCCATAAAAAGCCTGGTAACATTAAACAGCTGCAGACAGCTCTCTAAGTTTTTCAGGCTAAGGGCCTTCCACTCTCCAAAGGGACATGCGCAAACACACGTGTGCTGTTCGCTGTAAGCAAAGCACTCACTTGGGATTTTTAAAACTGTTTCACTGCATCATGGCCAGATGACTCCAGCGAATAATTCTGCTTTAGGTCTACCGCAGAAAAACGACTGTGCTAAAAGACCCTGGGATTTGGTCTGCTGTCTTCTGTATTACAGAAGCACATAAAGGTCACTGGGCAGATCAGAGCATGCCCTCACCTGCCCTGGGCAGTCCCTGCAGCATTTCACAGCTGCACTAACCTAACTTGCATGCGTTTTACCTTCAGAGTAACGCTGCGCTGCTCCTCTGGCGAAACCTCTTGGACTGGGTGCACCCCCAGGCACGGCAAAACAAACCCTGGGAATCTGGACACGGAACAGGTATCAGAAGTACGACAGACAACAGAAAAATCAAGTTTAAAGTCAAAAAGAAAAGCCAGCCTGACCAAGGAAGAGGGCGGCACGTCCCCCGTCTGCTCCCACGCCGC